GTGTCTGTATCTGTGTGTGCCCTGTGATGGACTGGTGTCCTGTCCAGGGTGTACCCTGCCTTGTGCCTGTTGCTTGCTGGGATAGGCTCCTGCTGTACTGCAACCCCGAATTGGATGAAGAGGCTAGAAATTGGATGACATTAGCATATTCCTGTACATGAATGTATATAACATACCATGACATTCTCGTTGTGACCTTATATCCTGTTCCCACTACTTTTCTAACACTTGCCACCAAATGTAAGCTCTGAATTAAACAAATTCAACATTTTTACGTGTATCTCGAGTACTTCAATGCCTTCTTGGGTATGGAGATTTTAGTGTGAGATTGACACCACAGCAGTAGTACAGTATTTGAAAGGCCACAAACAAAACACACATCATTATGCACTGGTTGTTAAGTTCAGTCTTAAAATATTCACAGATTTCCTAGTTATTTTTAAAGTCTCAGTTGTGGAAGACTGGGGAAAAAATAGTTAATTGATAAAGTAACAAGTTCCTAAAAAATGAGAGCTTGAAAAAAAAAAAAACACCCCTGTAACTCCTGAGAACACATCAATCAGGAGTGATTCAGGTTATCAGGAGTCATCAAGCTAGTCGAAGACATCAGTGATTCCCAATACCAGACTTCACCACTAATTTGATCAACTGGCTGTATTTGCCCCCATATCAAGCTGTGGAAAGGAACTAGAAAATCTTGTAAACTGTGGGTCTACCTGTCCTCTTCTGTGCGAGAAATAACTCCAATAAATTCTTGAAGAGAACGGTCATGATAAACCACTTGTGTTACAAGACATGGTCTTCTATGCACAGCTACAATAGAGGCTTTGTGAGTTTCATCCCACTGCATACACAGCAAAACAACACAGATGCACTCGAAGCCTGCAAGATTTTTGTGGACACAACAGAATATTGTCACAATTTTACTTTTTAACTACATTTACTCTTGAAAGAATATTTAAAAGTAAATTCCTCGATCTTAAAAAAACAACATCTTATTTAGCAAATTCTGTCCCTGACAGAATAAACGTGTCACATCATTAACAATTTAACTTTATGCAGAACTCTGAATTTGTCACCCTTGGTCTTTGATAAACATGCTGAAGGGTCACCCGAGTGGGTCAGTTCTACTTTAAGCCATAAGGTTGAGACATCCAGCCTGTAGTTTTGAGTCCGGCTTGTCTAGGATTTCTATAGTGGTGTTGCATGGCAGACACGAGAAAAACTACAAGGTGTTTTTACAAGCTGTGTTACAGAGACAGCTGTGGCAGCTCACAGTCTGATCAGTGAGAGCTGAAGCAGTGATTCATCCACAGTTAAGGAGAAAATAAAGCTGAAGGCTCCACCATGTTCGATTCAGGGTTTAAAGCTCTCATCCCTGTTGGAAAATGTTTTTCCAAAACCGGGAGAGGTGGGCTGTAAAAATGGAAATGTTAATTTAAGAAAACATAAGTTCTCGAAAAGAAAGCCCTTCAAAAACAAAGGCACGTCCTTCGATTATATGGTCACACGGAAAATAATCATGAAACCCGACAGGTATCACTGAAGGCTGTTTTAAGAGCTTTAAATAAGATCTCCCTCAAAGAAACCAAAAGGCACTCTCATTCCTCAGAGTCAGTCAAATGCACAAATGAGTGCACACTTTAAATGTTTTCTGAATGAATTTTCAGCAACAAAAAGACTGTAAATACAGATACACTGGAGTGTGGGACAGTTTTGAAACCCAGCATCTTGATGCAAAAAAACTAAAAACGATCATTTCTTGCATCTGAACAGTGGATTCCATCCCAAAGCCATACAAAACATATGTACTGAACGGGATTTCTATTGCAACAACACATCATCAACAGTTTAATTCACATGTTCCCTATTAGGACCCAATTTAGGACCTCAGTGTAATATCCCAACTGAAGGACAGTTCTTACTCCCCCGGTAACATACTGAAGAAAATACTGGATTAGAAATTCTGATTCAGAGCAATACTCCCAACTACCAGTCCTCCAGCTCCTCCCACAGTCTCACTTTACTTATCGGGAACCTGGTTTTCATTAGAGGTCTCTTACCTGAGTAAAGACCACAACTGCTCAGCATCTGAGATCATACAAGAGACAACAGACAACATACAAAGTTCTGCTGTCAAATCTCGGTAACACACTGCACCTCGGCCAGGTCGGCCAAGTATTACAGAATCAAATGAATTCTAAAAACTAAATGATGAATTACAGGATTTTTCTGTGCATCAGCCAAAAAGAAGATGGCGTCCTTATTAAAATTCTCATTGACCATTCCCTCATGCTAGAATGGAATGGATTTCTGAAGTAAGACGCCGGACTAAATAAATTTTCAAAGCCTGTGTCCAGAGACCTGTAGAATCCATCTGACCAGCTGTTGTTAATTTGTTTGCTCTAATTATTGAACCAAGGTGAGGTCATGCTTCCTTCACAGTTCACTGTGCAAGGCGGTGCAGAAATAAATCAGTTACACCAAATGGCTCTGTAAAAAAACATGACACTGCCTGTACTTGGCATTTAACCCCCTCACTCTTACACATCTTGGTCTCTGGCTTAACTCTTCCATCCACCAATGTGGCCCGACAGGCTGGATCATATATTTGTTTCGCACGAAACATGCCTTTTGTTGAACTCTCCAGAAGGGATAAGGTTTATTTTCGTTCCTAATGTATGACCTTCCAGATATCTAACAAGAGAATCCTCACTAGGGGGGAAAAGCAGACTGTCCTTTCCAGCAGTGGACTCCTTATCAGGAATATCATCTGGACACCCTTTGGACGGATCTGGAGCAGCACGAGCCATGTGTGAAGGGGAGAGAGTTCCCCTTGTTGACGATGACGGTGCTGGAGGGGCCGGAATCGATGAGGATATCGTTCACTGACAGTAAGCTCCAGGAACGGGAACTGCTTGAGCCAGCTGTTCAGACTGGAGTGTACTGGAGGGAAGAACGTATCTAACATGGCTCAGTCCTGATGAACAGGAAAACAGGCAGGGGGCGTATGGTAGAAAAGTCTAGAAGAGACTGGTAGGAAACTCAGTGCAGGTGGGGAATTACCACAGGAAGAGGAAAAGACGGAAGGATGGAACTAAATGAGCACAAGCTCCCCTAAGAATAATACGGACAAAAAGACCGAATTTTTGGAAAGACGGAATGCATATCCGTGGAAGTTACTGTCAAGTG